TGCCTTCTAAAATTGAAAATAAAATAGAGATCGAATTAGTCAAAAACTAAATAATTTATTGAATAATTTAATCCATCAAAACAATCCTTAATCGAAAAGAACTCCTATTTTTTATATAAATAAGATTAAGAAGATTATAAAACTTTACAATACTTCATTTCTGTTTTCCGTCTTTTTTTCGTATTGTGTACGTAAATCGAAGTACATAAAATACATAGAAACAAAAATATCAAAACAACTTAAGAGAACCAAAAATTACGAAAACATAAAAAAAAAAAAGGCTGACAAAATTCGATCTACAAAAACATATCCACGATAGATGTGGATTTTCTGATGAATAATGATTGGCCTGTTATTTTTATTGTTAAACGGGCAAAAAATATAAAATTTGATTATATTTGATTCCTTCTAACGAATTAGCCTTTTAATTGAGCCCATTAATTTAAAGAAAAATGGCCACTCTTTTTATGCATTAATTATACGGACCAAATGGTTGATTTTGGGTTGTGTTTTATTTTAAATGATATATGATTTTTGTTTTGATGAACACTAGTACGTACCCCGTGCAATGCACGGGACATAGATATTAAATGAATTATTTTCAGACGACTCTGTTCGTTTATGTCTAAAAATCAATAGGGTTATAATATATTTTTCACTTGCATATTAGGGCTAACTTGTAAAATAATTAATATATTATCTATGCATTATTAATTCTTTTTTTATCGGTTATACATATTTATTTCTTAATTTGAAATAAAAAAATGTTTGACCAGTTGAGTATTAAACCAGCCCTAATTAATTTATTAAGCAAGTAAAGACGCAAAGCAAGACAATTTAATTATCCAGCAATTTAGAGTAATATATAGTTATTTTCTTTATTAAACATGATTTTTAAAAATAAAACAACATCCGCCCTAAACAATAGGCAACATTCGTGGTTTTGTTGAAAACCAAAATAATAAAATCCTTAATTAATGGATAGCATTTAATGCTGCCTTTTTTTTAAAAAAAAAAAGTTACTAAGAATGAAATGTAATTAATGCAAAATGATTTTGACCAAAATTTGACCTGCTATTTTTGAAAAATGGTAAATCTTTTTATATATAGATAGATAGATTATCTTATTGTCATATTTCCCTACCTATTATGACTCTTTTATATTATATATTATACAAATTAATACTCAACAAATAATACAACTCGTGCATCGCACGAGTCATGCACTAGTTAAGTTAGTAAAGTACTAAGCATTTAATGATGATGTGCTATAATATCCTTTGAATATCTCGAATATAAAAATGTAATTAAAATCTCAAAGGAGTATTGTAAAAAGACCCGAGTACTTCAAGGAGAGTATAGTTCATTTTTTGTTGTTAGAGATTTTCATACATCAACAAGGAGTGTGTATATTTTCAAATGGTTGAATATGGATTCTTCTTCCTGAACATGGAGATTTTTTTCACATGTTTTTATTACTTTATGTTTTGGAAGGTTTTAATGTTTATTTGTTGACAGTAATGTTCACCTACCTAATATTTCAATGTTTTAAATGACATAAGCGTTGAACATATTAACATGTGTCCACCATGAGAAGGGGAGCATTATCCTATTTGTTGGTTCTTATTTCTTAATAGTTTAAATTTGATAAGTGACACGAATTTTTAGCCATGTAACGAGATCTGATAAGATAAACATGTTATAAACTATAAATAGATTAAACGTAAACTTGAAGAAAAAATATTTCGCAAATTTACAATAAAAGTGTATCATTTATATAAAATTGCATTTTTTTAAAAGGTTAATTTTTATGCAAAATGTTTCAAAAATTGCATTAAATATATAAATTAGCATATCCTAAAATAACTCGTTTAGGCAAAAAAGGACCAAGCTATAGTCATGGTCAAATGCCGGCTCGGGGCCAATTCTGGTTCAGAACCGCAGGTTCGCATTTTATGTGAATCGAAATCGACCCGAGTGTGTATACTGGTCGGTTCACTAAACATGCGGTTCACGGTTTAGAAACGACCGCTGATTCCGACCGAACCGCCAAATTAAAAAATAATAAAAACTTCAATTTTTAAATTCGTCGAAACTGTCGGTTTCGGTTTCTTTTCTGGATCGAAACCGAAATCGGCCGTTCATTTTGTGAAAAACACATAAACTTGAACCGGGCTGGGTAAAACCACGGGCCGATTCTGCCTGTTGACATGTCTACGTAGATATCCGAGGCATTCCGTCCATTACACCATTACTTTTTATAATAAAACTAATAATAAATATGAAAAAAAAAAGGAGAAAATGTCAAGATTTGGGTGATTTGTGCAGTATAATTACTAAATCAAGCAAATTGAGGTCATTGTCAACCAGATATTTTTCCAAATCTAGGACAATTGAATAGATAATTTCTAGATACTCCTTGAATTTGTCATGCCTAGGTTAATTGACCAAAATTATAGTTCAAAATTTAAGGTCTAAAATCGTCATCACCAAAAACTTTGGAGCCTAATTTTTTTTTTTTTTTTTTTTTAAGCCAGAGTAATGGACAGACAATTCATTTTATTTTACTGCCCATATCTGGAAGAATATCTGGCAAAAATGCAATAGTAGTTAACTTCAAACTGTTTTACTACATTGGCTGTTTTAGTATACATCTTGCAAAATATATTGATTATTTGTCCTTTCTAATTTATTGTTCCCAAGTACAGCTCAAAGTCTATTTATGCTAATAAATCTTTAGATAATTCAGATTTGAAAAAAAAATTCAAATTTAAACATGTATATCCCTCTTGTATATAATTTTCGAACGTGTTGAGTCTAAGTGGCAGACTCGCATGTTTTCGGATCCTATGTGACAAAATTCCATGCTCCATTATTTGGCTTGAATAAATTTTGGTTTTACTTCAAATCCGAAATAATTAGGTTCGGATTGTCTCGATTATTTATGATCATGTTATATGTATTAATTGCATTTTAATATTATTCTTGTTATAACGATTGAATTGTAAATGCATTTTAAAAGTGTTTGTAAAAAATTTATTCTTAAATTATAATATTAATATTAATGAGAAAAAGTGTTCTACAATTTAAATACTTGTTTTAACAAAAATATATATTATATATATTTTATAATGTCACTTGTTACTCGTGTGACTTATTTTTTTAACTTATATCATATAACTACTTGAAACACACACATATATTCATAGAATGTCATACTTTAAAAATAAATTAATCAAGAATATATTTCTTAATTAAATATACATATATATTTAAAATGTACGGTGTGTTACTGTTAGTTTGTCTCGGCCATTAAATTATGCAAAAAAAATGAGATAATTATACATGAGTTACATTTCACGAATATAAATTATGGACCAGTAGAAAAAAAACTCATCATAAACTTTCTTTAAAATAATAATTTTTTCAAAAGTATATTTTTTTTTAAAAAAATATTGATACTACATTTTATTCTTTCTCTTTGTCCTTTTAGCTTTTACCTTTCATTTTCTTGAAAAGAAAAAAAAACGGGCAATAAAAAAAAGGATATTCCAAAGACTCCCTTATCTTGTTGGCAAGTATAAAATAAAATGTTGACATGAAAAAAATAAATAAAAAAAAAGAAAAATTAGATTTAGTGTGTAAAGTATTTTAATTATCTTTTTGAAGGAAAATTCTAGGTCCCGTTATGGGATGGGATGGTGCCGTCAGTGTTTTTCATCATTAGATACACATATAGATAATATTGTGTGAATAAACTACCGTACTGCATAACGTATCCCAAACCCAAAAAATCTTTCCAATCGAATCGCAAAACGCAACCCAAAATGCGTTTTTGTCTTCTTTTCTCGCTCCTCAAACACAAATTTGCGTCCAACTTTTCATATACGCAAATGTTTGCACAAATTATATTTCTTGCCCAGTTTGGTTTTTTGTTTTTACTTTTACATGTTTTATTTATTAACCTAATATATATATTAAATGGTTTTTATTATAGTTTAAATTTAATTGTTGGATTCAATTCATTATGGATATACATAATTTTTCAAAATTATTGAATTGAAATTATTAGAAAAAGTATTAAAAATCATATAAAAAATACAAACCACATTGATATTAAAAATACTACAAATTTGACACACAAAAAAGAATTTTACAATATCAAATTAGTTGAACTAATTGAAGAATATCTATTTTTTACTCGTACAAATAATTATTGTATGTTCATTTCAATGTATTTTTATTTTTCATTTTGTGCATTGTAATTTTTTATTTATAATGAATATTTATTTTTCTAATTTCATTATATATATGATATGAATGAATTATAACTCTATATTTAATTTTATCACGTAAATTCTAAATCAAATTTAAAATAACAGTGTTGTTTGATTTGTAAAGTTGTAAAAATATGGGGTAATATTGAAAGTTGTAAAAGTTGACGTAGAAGATAATATTCTTTTGAGTTTGAGAATGAGTTTTTCGGTTGGAGATGAATTACTGTTTGATGTGATAGTTTACTGCACATTAGGTTTGAGATAGTCTAACCACTTGGCCATTAACTAATTAATAATAAAAAAAAGCTTGTAAAAGTTGACGTAGAAGATAATATTCTTTTGAGTTTGAGAATGAGTTTTTTCGGTTGGAGATGAATTACTGTTTGATGTGATAGTTTACTGCACATTAGGTTTGAGATAGTCTAACCACTTGGCCATTAACTAATTAATAATAAAAAAAGCTGGTCCAAGGGATAATTTGAAGCATCTTCAGAAGAGAGAGAGAGAGAGTCGAAGGGTCAAATTATTTTCCAGTGATGAAAATAATAAATATTACATAAACCTCCAAAACTTTTCTGGTCAGAATTTTAGGAAATTTGATTTTTGGATTTTTTTTTTCTCCTTTCGCCATTATAAAGCTTTGCCAGTTTTGCTTCTTCTCCTCCTCACCATTCTCAAATTTTTTTCCCCAAATCAATTTTCCTTTGTTTTTCTCTGCTGAAGATGTCGGAGCCCCAGATTCCAGACCCTGCTGCCCAGACCGCCGACCCGGCCGCGGTTGAGCTGCCGGCCGACCCTCTGTTGGGATCCGATTCGGTCGTCGAGCCTGACTGTGTCGAACCCGAGACGGCGGCGCCGGAGCAGAAGCAGGAGGAGCAGGTGCCGGAAGAGGAGGAGGAGGAGCAGGTCCCGAATGTGGAGTTCGACCCGGCTGTGGCGATTGCGGCGCAGCCAATTTCGATGCTGCGGCCAGGAGAGGAGCCGGTATCTGTGGAGAAGACGCCGCGGAGGAGGAGCATGGAGGAGATGTCAGTGAGGCCGAGCTGGTTGCCGGAGGACTGGGAAATGAGCTTGAGGGTTCGCGCGTCTGGAAACAGTGCTGGCTTCATTGATCGAGTAGGTTTTGATTTTCATTCAGACTCGTTATTTTGTATTTGTTCTATTTATAATTTTGAGTTGAGAATAATTACTTTACTTAATTTTGTTTTATATTTTTGCTGGTCCGGGGGATTATTTTTGGTGAACTATCTGGGGTTTAATCATGGTTGTTTGTTTAAGCTGTTTAATTTGGGATGGGTCTTTGTTTTTGAATGCTTCAAGCTTTTTTTCTTGGATGGATCTTTGTTTTGACTGCGTATAAAATGTTTGTTATGTGTGATTCGGTGGATTTGATGCCATTTTTCTTGGAGGGAATAGGTTTTAGGGTTTATCTAGAGGGGTCTGTGTACGAAGTGTATAATGTAGCTCTGGCACAAGTTCAAAACAGTTTACTCTCATTGACACTGAGAATTATGTGAAGATGAGGAAATATGTCGAGTTCGAGATCATTGATTAACATAAAATTTATTAAGTTGTTTTTTGACGTCTCTGCACTGCGATTGTCGATTTTCATAGACAAGCACATTTTCCTGTAATTAATGTGTATGATACCTAGAATATGTTTTCCTCACTCTTTTGGATAATCAATCATCTGTGTCGTTGGACAGTTCCATTCTCTTTCGTTGAGTGTGTATATTGTATGCGGCAACCTTGTTAAGGTCATGAACTAATTGCCTCTCATGATATCACTAGTTTCCTAGATTGGAAGTCATGAACTCATTAACAACATTGCTAATTTTCCTTCTATGGGTGCTCTTCTTGATCAGTAGGTTTCATTGAAATGATTTATATATATATGTTTGTTTCTGTATGTTCGACGAATGATGCAACTCATAAATTTTAATTTATTTTTTCGTAAGAACATACTTGGATCACAATAGCCACTTTAGGAGATTGCATGTGGATTTTGTGTCAGTTCACGTGTGATTTTGTCAATTTTATGTTTAGCTGTTGCTTCTTTATGTCCAAATATATTTCTTTCATTTGGGTAACCTTGAAAATCTTATTTTCTATCTGTAACGTGCCTAGGGATGGTATTTATGCATGCATGGAGAAGCGTCTTGCATTTCTAAAAGAAAAAAAAGATAATAAATAAAAAAGTTTTTCGTGAATGAATTATGGTTAGATAAATCAATGATTTGTGTTGGTGAATCTGTTGAGATTTTGTACCATTTTTGGTAAATTACTTTATTATAATTTCGTGTCACTTGTTAATAGGGTCGATGTTGAAGAAATGTTTTGAACAAATGTTACGTAAATGGAAGCACGTGCCCTTTTCCATTGTTCTATACCTCTGGTTCTGTGCTGCATCTTAATTGGTGGCATGATCGTAATATTTATTGTCTGCTTTTAGCGTACATCCTAATAATATCTTCTGGATAGGATGCCTTTTATGATTTGACATTTTTGGACCTTTAGAATAATCCAAAACGACCGTTTTTAACGTTGGCATGTTTCAAGACGACCGTTTTTAAGTTTTCATGCTGTGTCTTCTTTAGGTATTGTATTGGAACAGCGCTCCTATCTCCTATTTCTTCTTCTTTTAAATGATTCAAATGATTTCATGACAAAATGAAGGGGAGCAATATTAGTTTTTTAACAATTTTGTCTTTGTAATCTTGTTTGGAAATACTTACGTGTACTCTGGCTTGAAGACCAATGACCAAAGATAAGTTTACAAATTTCTTTCCTAAGAGCTTTGAATTGGTCAGCGACCTATAACATAATAATAATCTCAACAACCTTTTTGCTTTTTGAATCCCTTAGGAGACTCGAACTGTTTATCCTTGCCACGTGTCATTATCTACAAATTGTTTGGAGATTCTGCAGTTAACTTGGGCTTCCCGACAAAATTTTCTTATAGTGTGTTCCGTTTCTGTCCATCCTCCATTGCTAACATTTCCTAAAATGTCCTGTACGGCTTCTAGAGATTCTAAAGTGCTTCATCCTCTTTTGTTTGCGCGTCGGAATGTATCTTTACTTGCTTGACTTTTGTTTGACAGTTAAAGCCTTCTACATATTGACATTGTTGCCAAGTGCGGACAAATCCTTTAAGTCATCTACTTTCATTGCTCTTTATTTCCAGTTACAAGGCCCGATTCTTGGACTAATTTCATAGTTATCTATAATTTTGAAGTGTAAATGATGAGATGGGTTCAATCGAAATATATGATTTGTTTAGTGCTATATAAGAAAGTGATGTCTTGGATACCTTTTAGAGTCTCCATCTTTTGAAACTAAGGTTAGAATGAGTTCGAGTATACCTTCGTGCCTTGTTTTTTAAAATTTTAATTCAACTTAGAAATATGCTGTTAGCTTTTTTCCCATTGAATTACTCAGTTTTATCTTTTTCTCCATGAGTCCAACAATATTTCTATCTCTGCTAAGTTCTTGAGCTGGCCTCGAGTGGATTTGACTTGAAAGTTCATAATGTATTTGGTTTCAGTTTGTTCAGTCACCATGGGTATATACCTATCTCTTCTTTTGGGACTTAAAGGTAACCTTAGTATCTGATATTATCTACATATTGCATGATTTAACTTGTAAATTTATATGGCTTTCTATTTGTGCAGGTGATATGTAGAGTTGATGGTCTCTTAATGAAATTCTCTATTCAGTAGTTATGAATTTATTCTGTGTGTCTTGTTTTGTTTGATGTGAATTGGTGTTCGCTTACATGTCATGTAAAGTTGATGGTCTTCAGGTTTAGATGGTTCATGTTGATGGTCTGGTTTTCTGTTGCTAACGATACGTTGAACCCAGGGGTTTGAATTAAGAAGTAATTTCCAATAATCCATTTTTTAATGTATTTAAAGTTCTATTCAACTAATAGTTATTGTGAGGTTAGGATATTATCTTCCCTATGGGATTTAGTTCGAATAGTTATTTGTCCGACAAACTTTAACTGCTTAGAAATATGAATAACATGATTCGCTCCTTGTATGAAACTAGGTCCATGCAGCGCATTATCTGTCGCGTTATTGGATTTTGTGGGATTTTTACATTTCTAGTAAATATCTACTTGCTTCACTATTTTGATGAACCCTAATCAATCTGAAAATTGTGCAGTACTACATTGAACCAACTGGACATCGCAAGTTTCGTTCGAAGAATGAGGTGCTTCATTTCTTAGAAACGGGCAGTAAAAGGAAAAGGCGTTCAACTTCTGGAGCAGCTTCTGCGGTAGGTTAAACAAAATTAATTCTCTGTTAAGGTTCAATCTCTAATATAAAGACCTCGGTTGCAAATGCTCCCCTTGGTAATAGTTATCCACTTCTCTTAAAATTACTACTAGCCCCTTGGCATTTGCTTTCCCGTGAAAATTGGTTACAACATATATTAATAAGGAGGTGTAAAAAATTAACACTGCGCATAACGTTGTGTAATAATTGTTAAAATATATCTACGCGCACATATGTACATACATATGCTGTGTTAATTGTAGCTCAAAAGAATAGAGAAGATACAGTTTGCTTTTGGGCAATATTGTTCATCTGTTGAGCTCTCAAGGCAGTTTCACAAAATGTTCTCTACAGTCCCAGTGTTGTAACAGAGAATTTTATTTGACTTTTTACACGGTTAAAGTGATTAAATGGTGTTCAGATTTACCACTGTTATTGTTAATATTTTGTTAATTTATCAAAGAAAAACACTGGACCGTAAATCATTTTCTCGACTTAATTGTGCTTATATTCGATGCAGCCTTCTGAGAATTCTGGCAAACAAAACAAGTCTAGCAAGAAAGGCAAGAAGTCTGCAGCTGTGAAACCTGATGCTGCTGCTCCTCCGCAGAATGATTCCAACGGCATTAATGCGGATGGTAGTGGGTAAGGACTGTAGTGTGTTGGATAGTAGTGCACATGACATGGGATTGCTGATAAACTGTTGAGACCTCTAACTTAAGGCTTCTTTATCTTTCGAATTTATGTGGCCACATAATGTTGGCCTAGATTGTGTTGTTGAATGGTAGATTATTTTTCGCTTTTTTCGCCTTTTCGTCACCTGCACCTGAGCTTATATAGGACTCGGACTTCGTCTGTGTCTAGTGATTGTGAGCTCCCTTGGGTTCACTACTTTTCCTTTTTAGGCAGGTTAAATGGTATGTGTAGTTTGAATCTTTCTGAAAGCAGTCTTGCAGGATGTATGTACTTTGCTTTTTGGAAGATTAAATGATCCAGTGGATTTTTTTATGTTAGTCCTCTTTACATTTTATATGAAAATTAACTCTTACATTTCTAAAACCCTCTTGATATTTGCTTCTTTTTCAAAAATTGCACCCTACAAAAAACTTCACTGGGGGATTTTGACGTTTTTGGAAGTGTTACGAGTAATTTGCTCGTCGATAGAGGTAGATATTACTTGTTAGACAGGTCTCCTTAAGCAATTATTGAATTTTTAAAGAATTTGCATGTTTTTATACTCAAGTAGTATTAGATGGGTAGATACTTACTTATCTGACAGGTCCCGTTAATTAAGCAATTATTAAATTTTTAAACAATGTCAATGTTTTTATGCTCATTTTTTTT